TATACAGGCACAAATTTTGCTAATCAGGCAAAAATTAAATGACTTTCAAGAGAACATTTTAATTCTTTCCTGGCCAAATAAATATTAAAAAGAATGTCTTTTTCAGGTGTATGAATGAATATTCAGAAGTTCACTCATTTAAGCTATAAAAATTACTGTTTTTTGCTTTGTGGCTAGAGGTGATCCCAAAGCAAGAGCTACCCAGTTTACTTGTGAATAAGTGTACTCATGAGACAGCAACTCCATCCCCCCCTTCTCCTCATCCAGGGATCTTTCTCTTCAAAAAAAATATTGAAAGGCAAAAGGTCATCTTTTTGGAAAACATGCACATGACATGTTGGTAGAGCTTTCAGTCCAATATAGTTTTCTTTCTTGGCTTGCCTAACTCAAAGAAAGGGTTCAACATTAGTCAAGATGGTCTACAGGATATCCTGTTCTGTCACTTCCATTCGCACTTGTTGAAAAATTGACAATTGCATTGTGTTTGGGTGAGAAGTCATTAACTGATTTAAAAAGGATTCATTTTCTGGAATTTTCCCCTGCATGGTGTTACTTTGTGAATGGTAGTGAGCAGAAGAGGGCATCTTGCCACCCCAGACCAGAAATAAGGAGGCGACACACAGGTTGTTTTGGTCAAACTTGGGCCACAGCTTTATTAACTATTTAACTAATTCCCCAACTACAAGGGAGCCTGACCGTAGTGTGATTTCCTATTAGATACTGGAGTAACCTATACCTCCAGATGATTCAATTAGAGCAGGGCGAGCTCCTATTTCTGAATCATGCTGTTCATTGAACAGCATGCCTTCAGGGGCTCAGTGCTAAGGGTAATAATCCACCTTCCCAGCCCACTGAGTCTCGTGACCCTAAGTGGGCTGCTGTTCTTGAGGTTCCCCTATATGGAACCACCTCTCCTCAGATGCTGGATTGGCTGTATCTGACAGAAAGATGGCATAATAGTCTCATCACGTGCTAACCGTGAACTCACCCCATTTCTGTCTTCACACTTACCCACCGCTGCAACCAATTGTCTTCAACTATTCCACAAGTTTACTTTATAACCTCATCCATCAGTTAAGAATGGGGTGAGTGAAAACACACTGGCATCCTGCAGCCAATAAAGGATGCAAGCCAAAAATTCCCATCTGGCTCCAATAGGCAACCAGCTAATCTCATTCTTAAATTAAGGCAGGTGGGAGGGATGGCCAGGAAAAACAGCAAAGAGGCTGAGCAAGGATGACGGAGGCTTAACAAGCCTGCGTCCCTCCTCCCATTGGAAGCGGCATCGTTCAACCATGATGCCACCTTTCCGGGTGGGAGGGCAAAGCTTCCCCACCATTATGACTTGGCATAGTGGCAGAGAGGTCATTGTAGACCATCTTGACTGCTGCCATTGGTGTTGTCAACATTTAGGCTACCCTTTGCTATGTAAACCTTGGCATCCTTTTTCCTACTGGCAACGTGAACATGGGACCATTTACTGGCTGTTTCAATTGTAAATACAGAAGCACAATGCTGTATCTGATGTTTGTAATCTGGAGGTTTGTTGACGAATTGAAGTGGAGTGGCAGTAGAGGCAGATGATGTCAAAGTCTAGGCTACTGAAAAAGTCTTGAGAGCTTAGAGCTTGGGAACCCACACACCCAAATATTTTTAAGGACTGTCTAGACAGGGGAATTTGGAATGCTCTGGTTCATGCTTCAAATATTATTCTATGCGATCTATTTTATTTCTCATTTGAGCCATCCTTCTGCTCACACTGTGAGAAGGGTTTTTTGATTTCCATTTTACTTGTGAGCAGGTTTGTCCATTTCATTTGTTTGTAAGTTTACCCGGTTTACTCATGAGCAAAGAGGCAGCAGCAGACACAGACAGCACCGAATGGGGGGGAACATAGGAGAAATGGTTGTGGGGAGGGACATGAAGCAGTCCTCCATTGTTCCCACCTTTCTCCTCAACCAGCGCTCTGCTGAGGCTCCACTGGCATGTAGAGGAGAGCCCATGGAGTTGACATAGCCCTTCTTTGCCTTTTCTCACAGCCATCATTCAGTGGGCAAAGCAACTTCCCCCTTTTTTAGTTAAAAAAAAGTAAGTGGCCTATTGAAATGATAATGTGTCAACCTAGGATAGTATTAGAATTATGTTGTATCAGTTAGGTAATTTTTTTTTAAAAAAAGATGAAAATAGAGGAGGGGATTTCTTCCACTTCCTTTTTAATGCCAGAACCCACCGAATGTCTCACAGGGTTGCCTTCTCAGTTAACGCCACCCACAGTTCCATTTGGATGTGAAACAACCATCAGCACAGGCTGCACAGCAGGATAATTAGAATTGAACTGAATCATTAATATAATATATATACATACCCTAGAACTGTGCCAGAAAAAAGCAGGATAGCTTTTAAAGGGGCAAGAGGGATTGATCTAGGTAAAAATATGAGTGGCTGTCGTAATTTGGTTTGCATAAAACTATATGAACAGTAGTCCAAACAGTGGTCTGTTGAAAGGGGGTTCTTGAAAGGGGGCTGTGTGGAAGATACTGGCCCCCATCGATTCCTTTGCCACCTAAAGTACTCAGAAGTCATTTCATTTATTTATTTATTTATTTATTTATTTATTTATTTATTTATTTATTTATTTATTTGATTTATATCCCGCCTATCTGGCCCACCGGACCACTTTACCACTTTACCATTCCCTTCTTCGATGTGTGCCCTGGGCTTGCGCACTTTGCTCAAGGTCACACAAGATGGCTCTTCTCCCTGGAGGCACGGTGGAGAATCCAACTCCCAACCTCTGGCTCTGCAGTCAGAACCTTAAACCAATGTGCTATGGGAGAGGGCAACGTTGTGTCTGATGGTGCCCAGTGGGATATACTTCTACATAAGCATGAACAGGAAGGACTGTCCTGTGATTTAACGACCAATGCATCATCTTCTGAGCTAGAACCTGTCAAGGTTTCCTACGTTGACTATTTCAGAATTAAAACCATTATAGGAAATAGACCTAAAAGTATAGTACTTGTAGACTTTGTGTCATGAAAACATTGTTTACTACAATTCAATCCGTCAAGCGTGTCTTTGGCAATCTCCTTTTTCATTTTGCTTTCCAATCTGTAAAGACATATGGAAATACTGACATCTGATGGGTAATTGGTGTAAATACATTTTGTTTTTCTTCTAGGCAGGTGAGACATCAGATTATTTTTTGTTTTTTGTTTTTTTGGTTATAAGCAATAGTAGAAAAGGTAAAAGCTTGTTGCTGTTTAGCAGTAAGATATAAGGAATGTCTACTAATCAGCAGACAATCACCACTGGGTAGTGATTATTGTTAGCAAAAGCTTATTCTTCTCAGCAAGTTAAATGAACAAAAATTAGATTACAGTGGTACCTCAGTTTACGAACACCTCAGTTAACATAATTTTTAGTTTATGAACAAAAATCCATTGAAAATAATGCGTCGGTTTACAATATTTTTCAACAATATGAAGCAAGTTTGCATTGCGCTTGGAGGTTTATAGCACAATCCCTGTGCATGCATTCCTATGGGAAACCACATTTTGGTTTGTGAATTTTTTTGCATTACGAAAAGTCCCGGAAAATGCATTAATTTCATAAGCCAATGTATGCCTGTATAAAAACATCCATTGTTTCTCACATTGCTATGAGAAGAAGAGCAGCTATACACAAAATAACAGGGTGCATATCGTAAACAGAAAGAAGGCACCAGAATATCAACAATAGTTACATAGGTTTTTATTTTGATTTGGCTAAAACTGGGTGAGGATAGTGTGTATTGATTTAGGTTTATCTTAATCTGCTTGGAGCTAAATACTGCTTTTTGTTTTATATATTCATTTTTTAAAAACTTTGATATTTTTCTATGCTTTTATAAAAAGGCTTTTAAGGCTTCTAACAACTTTTAAGAGCATGATGTTTTCTTTTAATGAAGTATTTTAGACATTCTCAGCCTTTATGCACTATAAGCGCCTATATTTTTAAGAATCTAGTTTTAAACATTGTTTATACTATTTGCTTGTATTTTGTTTCTATATGTTGGACCTTTGCCTATAATGTAAATTTCAAGACTTTCATCCATTTATAAGTGACAAATATGAATTTTAAGTAATGTTCGACTTCTCAAAAATTACATGTTTTTAATACATTTGGATTTCATGTTCTGCCTATGGAATCTAGAAACAATATAAATAAAGCTTAGAAAAAATACAATTTTTTGAGTTGCCTGGAATGATTACAAGAAAGAGACAATACATGCACTTTAGATAATCACTTGAAAATTTCAAATGCTTGTGTACGATTACCTGATTTCATTCTGGTATTAACCCTTTACTGGAATATTGTCAGCTATGATGAACCTAGAAAACATCTGTCAGCTATAAAAAAAGTACAGTGGTGCCTCGCATAACGAGCGCACCGTTGAACAATGAATCCGCATTGCGATGCGGATTTCCCCTTTGCTAATGCGAGGGCATGCTCGCATTACGATGGGGGAACAGGTGTTCGGCGGTTCCAAAATGGCCGCCAGACACCCAAAATGGCCACCGGGACACCCAAAATGGCCACTGGAACACCAAAAATGGCCGCCGGGACACCCAAAATGGCCGCCGGAACATGGGAAAACATCGGAGAACAGTGAGTTTTGGGCCCATTTGGAATGGGTTTCCCCATTCCACTTAACGATGTTTTCCCATAGCGAAGGTTAATCTGGAACGGATTAACCTCGCTATGCGGGGCACCACTGTACAGTGGTGCCTTGACTTATGGATGCCCTGACCTACAAACATTTTGAGTTACGAACAGCTCTGGACATGAAACATTGCTTGTATTTGAAATCATAGAGTGCCTCCCAATGAGGTCTGATATAACTGACGGGACCTACTTTAATTATTGAGCCACTGAAATCTTTCCTTGCAGCAGGTAAGTACTAAACAGGGCAGAAATGTGTCTGTCAGTGTAAGCCTCTACATTATTACCTCAGAGTCAGCCTTATAGAGTCCAACAGTCCTTGCTTAGAGAACTCAATACAGGACGGCTGTTTAAACTGTGTTAGCCAAATACTTATTGGATTCAACAAAAAACAATCCAACTTTCCTTAGAGGTGCTTAATAAGCAAGTCCACATCTTCTTAAGATATGACAAATGGTAATAGGAGGTTTGTCTTCATGCATGTAGATTGCTGGCTTGTTTTGACAATTGTGCTGTTTCCGAGAGATGGTCTAAACTGCCTGTGCTGGCCTTGGCTGAAAGCGGGTAAGAAAATAGTCTGCCAGAGAGGTCGGCAGGTAAGAGAGAGGGAGGTAGAAAAGCTTTGCGTCCCAGCCTGCAGAGTAACGAGTGCGAGGGTGGCAGGAAGTCAGGGCATGCTCTATTTGGTCAGTCACCAGGCGGAGGTTGTTGGAAGTTACAGTCGGTAGTTTCTGGAGTAATCTGTAGACTGAATATGAAAAATATGAAGCACAGAAAAGTTAGAACTGCTCCCTGAAAAGACACCCTTTAAACTGGGGCTAGGTAACCCTGGATCCTTTGAATTGCCCCTTTCCAAAATGGTAGTCTGCATCCAGCTGGAGAGTTCCAGATTGGAGAAGGCTGAGCTAGGATGATAAACTGAAAATACTGAGTGGATGAACTTCTGAGGAACACCTGCCCCTCATACTTTGGAAATGGTGCATGTCTAAAGCAGTCTCTGCACAGCTGGCATTTTGGATCAGGTTCTGTGCTCAGGACAGAACTTTCAAACAAGAGACTGAACCCCTGAAATGATGCATTCAGGGAAGTGGCTGTTGTAGTTGAGAAGATCTAGGGAGTGTGCATGCTCTCTCTCCCTGAGCTACCTTTTCTGGTTATAAGGAGAGGCCTTGCCATTTCCGGACAAAGTTTTCCATCATATCATGATATTATTTAATTACTTGATGGAGGGAAGAATAACATTTCTCAGTTTTTATCTTTTAAACCTTTGCTTAAATCTCAAGATAATTCCGGAAATATTTTGAGAAGGTTGATTTCTTTCGCAGAAACTAATCAAGTGAAATTGTGATCCATGTCCAGTACGAAGATGCTTTTGTTGTAGCTTGAAGATACTAAAGATCAGGAGCCTGTTAAAAATGAAAGACAGCAACCCTTATTCAACCTCAGAAGCATATTTGAAAACAGCATCATCAGAATCCACAGACTGAAGAGCTAAGTTCTCCAGCCTCTACCTCTATTCATGAATCTGTCAGTTTTGCTTTCTCTCATGTTTGAATCTTCCTGAATGTCAACTTTATGAAAAAAAAATTATGGATTCTAGAAGATTCTCATCAAACATGAACAGAATAAACTTCTTCCCTGTCCTTGCTAGATGGCCCTGGAAATAGATGTATCAGGTAGAATTAGAAATAAATATGAATGGATCTATCCTTTCTGGGTTTTCTCCATTTCTAATTTTTCTAAGCTCAAATTCAGTTTATCCTAAATTTTGCCAGTATTCTCAATCTTCATCTGGAATACTGAGAATTTGTTTTAATTTCAGGAAAATGTACACACATTTTGTGCTAATTTCTCTGAATACATGGACGATTCTGCACATTACCTGCTTCTTTTTGTATATAATCTGTTTTTAGCATTGTTTCACAAATATGTAATCTACTGTGCACTTTTCTTAGTATACATATTTTTTCACGTTGAAGAACTACACTGCAGTTAATAATTCAACACTGAGGGCAGAAGACTTTATGTGGGGAAAAGGGAAAATGGCTGGGTAGGAAAGAAGAGAAAAAGGCACATGAGAAACAGGAAGAGGAGCAATCAAGTAGACCATCAGAATCAAATTCAGAAGGATGTTCAGAATCTAAGCTAGAAGACAAAATGGGAAGCACCAAAGGAAAGCCCACCATGGAAACAGGAAGATCCAAGAAGAGGAGAGAAAATCTTAATAAAGATAGATCAAATGAATAATAAAAAAACAGTTCAAAATACTTCCAGTTGACGTAAATGGCTTAGGTAAAGGTAAAGGTTCCCCTTGACAATTTTTGTCCAGTCATGTTCGAATCTAGGGAGCGGTGCTCATCCCCATTTCCATAGAGCCAGCGTTTGTCCGAAGACAATCTTCCGTGGTCACATGGCCAGTGCGGCTTAGACACGGAACGCTGTTACCTTCCCACTGAGGTGGTCCCTATTTATCTACTCGCATTTGCATGCTTTCGAACCACTAGGTTGGCGGGAGCTGGGACAAGCGACGGGCGCTCACTCTGTCACGTCGATTCGATCTTACAGCTGAAGATCTACAGACCTTACAGCACAGAGGCTTCTGCGGTTTAACTCGCAATACCACCACGTCCCTCAAATGGCTTAAACTCATCCCAAAAACATAAAAGAATTTGCCAACAATTGTAGAAATTAAAATTGGATATTATCTGCCTCCAAGAAACTCATATGAAAAGAATATATCAACAACATCTATTAGAAAATAAAAAATTAGGAGGGCACAATCAGTAAATTTCAAAGATAAACATAGAATATGTTTTATAGATGGCATATGACTCCAGCCAAACTTTCTAAAATGTATGAAAATGTCTTCAACAAATGTTGGAAATGTAAAATGTAGAAGGGTATTTTATTACATCTGATGGACATGTACGGAAGCAAGAAATTACTGCAGATCAATACATGAAATGTTACAAAAAAATTATATCTTGTGTTATAACCTTTAAACTGAAATTGTTTTTATTGAATATCATGCCTGAGACTGTAGATAAAGAAATGAGATATTTGATAATACAGGTTGGAACATATTTATATTTGTGGTGGAATTGTGAAGTTATACAAAAAATATGGGCCAAAGTTTTTTAAAAAATTATAGAACTATTGGAAGTTAATATTAAAATAGTACAAAAAATAGCATTGTTCCTTTCAGTATAAATTGTGAGATAAAGAATACCAAAAAGAAGAAAAAGACATGGTAATGAATAGGATAACAGTGGCTCAATATCTTATAGCAAAAATTGGAAGCAGAATTGGGATTTTCAGCTGCAACAATGGTATAATGAAGTATGGAATATATCAATCAGTGATAAATTGATTTCAAAAATTAAGTTTAAAAAGAGAGATAAAGATAAATAGATTTAATGAAATATGGGAAGAATTTATAAAACCTATATTGTGTAAAGGTAAAGGGGGAAATGGCCAATGAATATATATATTTTTGGAAGGATTTGGGGGATGGATAAAAGGAGATGGAAGATTTTGTTCATAAGAAGTAGTATGAAAGATGTAATGGTCCCCGAAAATAAGCCCTACCCCAAAAATAATCCCCACCTTCCACCATTGTGCAGCAACCAGAAGATGATGATGTGACTGTATTTGAATGACTGTAGTTTGTTGTACATGAAAAAGAAAACATCCCCTGAAAATAAGCCCTACTGCGTTTTGGAGCAAAAATTAATATAAGACCCTGTCTTATTGTCGGGGAAACTCAGTATATATGTCCTCCAGCCCCACATTTCAAATAAATTAATATTTTATGACAGAAAGAAATCTTTCTGTTTGTATCCCCAATCACCCATACATGGTGATCGGGGATACAAAAGTGTGGATGATCTTGTTCTTGTTCTCCAGTGATGCATCTTTATACTTGACAGTGTTTTCTACTCTCTATTGTTGCCCTTCTGAGTCTGAGTTCCTGGTTGCAGTTCAAACTAGACTGAACCAAACTATACAAAACCGTTCACTATTTCAATTATTTCATTGTTGTTATTAATATTGTTTTGAGTGTATGCTATGAATTATATTTAAATCCCATCACTAGTGCATACTATAGGTTACAGTCTATGTCAAAGAATAAAGACAAGTACAACTAAATCTAACAATACAGCAATAAAATAAATTTGAACCATCTGTTCTACAAAAAGCCATTAACATCAACTAAGTGCTCAATTAAAAACAAGACTGCAGGGCAGGTTAAACATCATAACTGAGTCAAAAACAATGTGTTTTTCTGAATAGTCAATGCTATGGTTTTTCCTGTAGTGATGTACGGACGTAAGAGCTGGACCATAAAGAAGGCTGACTGTCAAATAATAGATGCTTTTGAATTGTGGTGCTGGAGGAGGTTCTTGAGAGCCCCTTGGACTGCAAGGAGAACAAACATCCATTTTGAAGGAAATCAACCCTGAGCGCTCACTGGAAGGACAGATCCTGAAGCTGAGGCTCCAATAATTTGGCCATCTCATGAGAAGAGAAGACTCCCCAGGAAAGTCCCTGATGTTGGGAAAGTGTGAAGGCAAGAGGAGAAGGGGACGACAGAGGACAAGATGGCTGGACAGTGTCATCGAAGCAACCAACATGAATTTGATCCAATTCCGGGAGGCAGTGGAAGACAGGATGGCCTGGCGGGCTCTGGTCCATAGGGTCATGAAGAGTCAGACATGACTAAATGACTAAACAACAACAAAATCAGTCGTAGTGGAACCAAAGGCAGCTTTTGTTGAATGGAGTGCCTTCCACAATCTGGGAGCCACACAGAAGGAAGCCCTCTGAAACTGTTGGTAGTCCTAAGAGGGCCTCTTTTGAAGATCCTAACAATTGGGTGTGTGTGTGTGTTAACAATGAGACAGGCCTGCACTTCCATAGCTAACCAGGCAGCAAGCCTTTAAAGGTTAAAACCAACACCATAAACAACTGGCAACCAGTGCAGCTAATCAGTGAAAACCACTTTCTTTTCTATCTGTAATTGTATGTTTCATGTTACTCTTCTGCTTTTTTTTTTTAAAAGGGTAAAAATAATTTCTTTTGTAGCTTCTTGATCCTGATTGCTTCGTCCAGAGCCCTGATACTTTGATTTGGACAATTCTTCTCCTTTCCGTTTGCCACACAGTTTATACATGGTTTGCAAGAGGGTTTTCAGAAACTTAACTCACATTCCTCAAAGTACAGCTGCCCATAGGCTTCCCTGGTATCAGGAGGTGCCCGGCTCCATGCGGCCTTGAAACTCTCAGTTACATTTTGGGCGATGGGTGTGGCAAAAGCACCAGGCTCAATAATGCTGACGTGGACTCCAAAGGGGATGAGCTCACGCCTGAGTTAGAAGGAAAAGGAGAGCCAAAGTTATAAAAATGACAACATAATGTAGATAACAAATATTCTCTTTGGGAATGCTCTGCTTAGTTGCTACTGCTGAGAAGGTGCTCCACTGGACAGCTGATGGGCAGTGAAGCCAGGCTACTGCATCCGGAAGTGTGGTGCCGCTCCTCTGGGCTGGGTCCTGGGCCCATAACACAGTTTCCGAACAGCAAAGTTGGCAGATGCATCCTAGATTGAAGACAGGTCACTGCAACAGCCGAGTTTCACTGCCCATCAGCTGGGCACTGGAGCATCTACTCAGTGGCAGTGGCCTGTCTTCCACTGTGATCTAGGATACAGCAGCCAACGTCACTACTACCGGAAAGCTATGACTTCGTCCTAGAAGTCCACCCAGAGGAGTGGTGGAAGCAAAGCCTGGTGGCTGAAGCAGCCAGGCTTCATCTGGGCAGCTGGAAATGGTTACATTTATTTGTAATCATGTGAGTACCATATGATTATAAACCGTATTACATAAAGGTCTCTTCTGATGATCTTAGCACCCAAGGAGGCTCTGAGTTGGACATGACTTAACAACTAAACGAACGAACGAGTGCCATATGATTATAAACCATAGTTCATAAAGGTCTCTTCTGATGATCTTAACACCCAAAGAGGCTCTTTTATTGTGTAATTATGTTAGAGCAGCGGTCCCCAACCTTGGGCCTCCAGATGTTCTTAGACTTCAACTCCCAGAAATCCTGGCTAGCAGAGGTGGTGATGAAGGCTTCTGGGAGTTGTAGTCCAAGAACACTGTGTTAGAGCATTTCATGACATTTCTGCACTATCAGTGAGTCATTCAATGTCAAAAATATACCACATGCATATTATTTTATTGAGTTTGTCTATCACATATTGGGCCTTCCTGTTTTCCTACTGCATTCCTACTGCTTCCACTCTGTACTCTCAAGAACTTCTTGAATTTCTTCATAGCTGTTGTTCAAGAGCTCATATATTCTTCTGATTTCTTGGCTAGAGTCTCCTTTTAATTGTGTATTAAAGCAAGGTATGGAAAACCTTCAACAGCTTTTATTTCTTCATGGTCAACCTTAATCTTACAGAATTCTTCTCTAGTCATTCTTTTTGTTATCTTACAATTCAGGTGTAATCCTCTCCTTTTTCCTTTTAACCTTCATCAGCTGTTGCTTCAAGTTATTGCTAGTTTCACCCAGTAATTTGGTTCATATCTGAAATTACTTAGGTTTTTACACCAGTTATCACTTGTCCTTTATATGTGTCTAATCCAGCATTTAATATGATATATTCTATATAAAGATTAATCAGAGAAAGAGATAAAATGTGCCCTTCTCTAACATTTTTGCTAATTGAAAATCATTATATTTTTCCATATACTCTCCTGACTGGAAACTCTTGCCTAGCAGGGAGGTGATGCATCAGGACAGTCAAATGTTGTGGCACATACCTGTTGTGAATTCTAGGTGTTCATTTCCCGCTGCAATGCTTCATGGGTATGGTATGTTTCTCTAGACTTCAAAACAGAAGTAATGGCACATCCCTAGTGGACATTGTTCCAGGAATCTATTGTTAAAACACTGTACTTCAAGACATATGGGCCTATATCTATAACCAGGCATTGGGTTGGGGACTATGCCAATGAACCAAGCAACAGAGAACAGCAAGCATTTTACCTAAGGCTGTCAGAGAAGGCTTCCACACCATACTTGGATGGGCAGTAACCTCCTCCCAAGGATGCCAGTCTCCCCATCACACTGGCCACGTTGACCACCCTCCCTCTGGCTCTTCTCAACAGGGGCAGCAGGTGCAGTGTTACATCAATCACTCCCAAGAGGTTGACAAGTATCACTTTTTCAAAGTCCTCCTTGGTCAGCCATTCATTGGGACTTATGGGAACACCAATACCAGCGTTGTTGACTAAGCCCCAGAGACCTGTATCAGGAAATAATTTACATATTTAGAGTTATACTTCTCTCTTGTGGTTCCCACACATCTTAAGAGTTTGAAGCAATCTCCCAAGTTGTTTTGGATGTTAGTATGGAACTTTGGATCAGGACCTGGCCTAGACCTCATATTAGAACCATGATGTGGAATTTCTAAGATCCATGGATTCTTTTCACTTGAACAGAGCAATTAAAATGGTTATAACCAGGCATCACAGTAGTTCATACATAACCATGAAACTTGCCAGGGTAGTGAGTCACAAAGAGAATACTGTACATAGTATGCCAAATGTCAGACACACAATTTTTCTGCTAAGCACTTCCAAATTTTGAAAAAGCCCTCGTAGAAATGACCTTTCCTTTGCACATCTCATATAACATTTGGTAGGGAAGATAGACCTTTCAACATCACAGTAACCCAAGTTTATACACCAACCACTGATGCTGAGGAGACAGAAATTGAATAATTCTATAAAGACTTACACCTTCTAGAACTGACACCAAAGTAAGATGTTCTTCTCATTATAGGGGATTGGAATGCTAAAGTAGGGAGTCAAGAGATAAAAGGAATTACAGGAAAGTTTGGCCTTGGAGTTCAAAACGAAGCATGGCAAAGGTTAATAGAGTTTTGTCAAGAGAACAAGCTGGTCATCACAAACACGCTTTACCAACAACACAAAAGGTGACTCTACACATGGACATCACCAGATGGGCAATGCCGAAACCAGATTGATTATGGTATGTTCTCTGCAGCCAAAGATGGAGAAGCTCTATACAGTCAGCAAAAACAAGATCTGGAGCTGATTGTGGCTCTGATCATCAGCTTCTCATAGCAAAATTCAAGCTTAAACTGAAGAAAGTAGGAAAAACCACTGGGCTAGTCAGGTATAATCTAAACCAAATCTCTTATGAATACACAGTGGGAGTGAAGAACAGATTTAAGGAACTAGATTTGGTGGACAGAGTGCCTGAAGAACTTTGGATAGAGGCTCGAAACATTGTACAGGAGGCAACAACAAAAACCATCCCAAACAAAAGGAAATGCAAGAAAACAAAGTGGCTGTCCAACGAGGCCTTACAAATAGCAGAGAAGAGAAGGGAAACAAAATGCAAGGGAGATAGGGAAAGTTACAGAAAATTGAATGCAGACTTCCAAAGAATAGCAAG